TGAGTTGCCAAACACATCGCAGAAACCAATATAGTTGTTAGTTAACCTTGCAGGAGAGTTTCCTGTTTCAGCTGAGAATTACTGCAATTTTTGTAAACTTTGACAGCATAGCTTCTGTGTTACGTAAAAAAAATGGTTATTTAAAGATATTTTATTATAATCATGGCTGTACAAATACTGATCATTGTGTCAGAAGGGACACAGGATTTTCAGATCGTTATATAAGGAAATGACCTTTCACGAAACAATACTATATTAAATTTACCGCAGCTAAATGTTATTCCTTTCAAAAGATCCTTTATTAAACTGTGACATGTTGTTCATAAAATTTTTAAAATCACTGAAATTTTTTATTTTGCATTTAAGAAATGTATTTTTCAACCCACTTAAAAATATGTGTATAATAGTGAATATTTACGTCTTTTAAAATTTCATTTTTTATTGATTGCACTTTTTTTATAAGTAAGACAATAACTTTCTTAGACAGGCATAAGGTGTAAAGGCTTAAACATTATGTTTTTTTTATTTTTTTATTTATTTATTTATTTTTTTGGTAAATTTAATGAATTCTATAAAATGTGAATATTGTGATTTTATTTAAAGCAGCTGCATTTTATTTTAATTTTAGTTTTTTATTTCTCTTTCATGTATTTATGTTTCAAAGTTTATGCATTTAATTACTTTGTGAGGATTACGTTAATTTTATTAACAGTTAAATTTTAAGTTCCTTTCCTGTCGATTCTTAACTTCAACTTGCTACTTCCGGCCAGAACGTAGTTTTAGAATCACGTCTGAATACATAATGAGGAAGAGCGGTATTTAACCGCGAAGTTCTTCGGTCTTAGAGAGAGAGATACCAGGTATTCTGTCTGCACGCGTCCGCCTTTTTAGGCTACTCTCTCGGAAGCTATTATTACGCTCAGCCGTACTTTAGGCCCTTGATAGCTTCGCAGTCAAGTAGCGTTAAGGGGCCAACTCGATTAGAATCTTAGTTTAGATTAGTTTTAGTTTAATTCTTAGCCTTTTCAGTTCAAGCCCAAGTGTCGGCTTTTATTGTATACTCCAAGACGGAGTTCTGTTAAATCTTATTGGAATAATAAAGGGTTAGTTACCCTTCCATGTTGTTGTTTCTTGTCACACGAACTCAAGCGATTATTCGCTTATCAGTCCTTAAGATTCTTCACGTTCAACTGTAACTTAGCATTTACAAAGTGGGGAACTCCACAACTTATTATAACATGAAATTTTGGTTATTATTATTATTTAACAGAAAATAGATCTAATTAATGATGGATGTGTGTAATAATTGTTAACCATTGGTAAATCTAGTTAATGATGGATGTGGGCAATATCTCTTAACACTGGTGAAGGCCATTTGTTACCTTTCATTTCCAACTGAATCTGAACTAACGTGAACCTGTTGTAACGTCAATTTGATGCTTATGAAGAATAATTTCATCTGTCTGTTACATTTTCGGGAAAGCTTTTCCTAAATCTATACAACATCTACCACATAAAAGCATGAATGGAATTTATTCATGCCTTTAAAAAGAATGAGTAAAATACCTAATATACCGAGGAAAGAAAAAACACCTATAATTATATTTTGCAAAACTTCAGTAACAGTGTTCCATTTAGTGTACCACTTAGTAACAATTTTTGTACTTTATGTACGTATTAACGCTTGGAAAGAAAGTAAAGAAAGCTTTTTAAGTTGAAGTAGTTAAAATTAGGCATTAGGAAAGTATTTTATTATAGATTTTAACAGTATAACTGATAAAAAAACCCAAATAATTGCGATTATAATTTAGAGGATTTAATTATTGGAAGATGAAAAATGATATGACGCTGATTGAACATGCAAGTCTGCTGGGTTCATAAAGGCTATAAGGTGAAGGTATGCAAGAAACTCTATCTTATCTTAACGTACTGTGGCACAAAAGTATAATAGAGCCATCTACGGCTTCAGAAATAAATATCTCCTTGAATTAATGACTTATATTTTTGCAAGCATAGGTATTTAAGAGAATATCCTTAAAGAAATCATCACATCTGTCGTGCGAGCTCTTGAGGTGAAAGAGACTGACACATCAAAAGAGCATTCGAAAGATTTGCGGTTTGACTCCTGGCAGGAGTTTATTTACCATGTTTTTAGCTCCAAAATGCATAAAGCTGGATTCAGATTAGAAGTGATGCAGAGTTCAGTAGCTAATAGGAAAAACATTCAGAATAGTTTTAGGGATGATTGAAAATTGATTCTTATTTCTTCTTCAGATTAAGGAGGACATCGAAAACTCCCATACTTGATGTTATTTTAAGTTTCTTCTTTTTATTCATGTTTCGCGTTGGTTCTTGGCATTTCAAGCTTGTAACAATCAAATTCGGTTTGATTTGGCTTATCCTGATTGCTACTTTGTTTAGTCGTCATGGTATTCGTTTAACAACTTCTTTAATACATCAAATATAAGACATTTCTAAATTCAAAGCTTATAACTTCACATATAGAAATTTTCCGGAACTCTTCTTTCACTATAATCTGTATAAAAATAACAGTTAATAATATTTAATACATACATGCATGTATATATGTACATAAATAAAAAAAATCTGATGTGTGCACCACATGACTTCCTTGTACGGAATATTAAATTATACCCATTTTTTTCTTGCGTTTCATTTAATGTATTGGATTGAATTAACTCTACTTCTACTAAATAATTGGCAACCTCAAAATCAACATTCTAAATTTGGTGATCACCCCCTAAATTCATCTGTTCTGCCAAATTCCAGATTTTTCTATGTTACGTAACGTCTTAATGCAGATACCCCTTGTCCAATGAAATTAATTGTAAACCAAAACTCTCGAACTGAAACTATCAGCTCCCTTCCTTCTTCATTTGAGTTGTAGCGTTCTTTTTCGCTTACGCTTTCGTGCTCAGTGTTCTCTGCTTAACACGCTACTTTTCCATGTTGCTTCTTATTTTTCTAAGATGACGTCTTACTTTAAAATGGAAATTATTGCATTCTACTATAATTAAGAAGTGTATCCTGTCTGAAAAAGGGTGATTTGATACACGTAAAAAATACGTGATTCGTGATACGTGAAGAATTGTGATTCTTCAAAGTCAGTTGTGCTAAGTGCTTCATCATGTTTTTCCACTTGGCTGTACGTTCAAGTCACTACGGTCTTCTCTACCATCTACGCAATATCGAAAGCTGTTAAAAGTTCCAGTGTCTTCTTCTACACATTTGGAATCATTATATATATATATATATATATATGTGTGTGTGTGTGTGTGTGTGTGTGTGTAAGAAAATTAAAGAATATGTAAAAGATTAAATTAGCAGGTTGAATTAATTTCCCTTCTCTATTCTAAATCTAGCAACATCTATTTGCACTGCGTCATTTCGTAAAAAATGTATGTCCTATGACTCTTACGTGATTATTATGACGTAAATGGAACTAAAACTCAATCAGCCAATTTTAATTTTAGAGCAATATTAACTGTCCAATCAAAATGCTTTGGAAACCAAAACTAACTCAGTTTGACTTAAGATTTCATCTTGAACATAACGCACTTGCTTTCTACGCTATGGCCTAGCTGGACTGCTGTCTGTCTGCTGCTTCGTTCTTGCTGAAAAGTCATTTAATGTGCCGACTTGTGTGTAGCCGCTACGTGTTGCTGAAAAGCTGAAAATAAAACTGAAGATTTAATCTGCCTTCGCCTCCAATTTCCTGGTCATTGCTTCTGAGTTTGAATATATTACATATATATATTTAGTCAGCTACATGGGTTTTTCCTTTTTCTGATTTCGTTTAAATAGTGATGTATTTTTATAAAATTTTAATAGCTGTAAACATAAATCGTGTTCTGAGGGAAACGAACGAAGAAACAAGGATTTCTATTTTCAGTTAAATTCACGTAATTCTTTCAGTTAAATTCGTCCCGAGATCCTGGAAACCTAAGAAGAAAAAACTTTAATTTATACATACAGAATGGCAATGTAAGGCTTCTTCGATGACGTTTCTCACAGCTGTCTGATGCGCAATCATCGTCATTCAAAATTCAGTGTGAAGTTTGATGCAGATGATGTCTGTATTCTGATGATATTTTTCACAGTTTGAGTTGGAGCTAAAAAGAATACGAAATACTAAACTATTAAACGCAGAGCGTCTTCTGATGCGGTAATTACAAATCAAGCAAGAGAAGAGGTCTGATAGGATGGCTCTTATTTGACAGCGAAATGCTCCATCCTTTCGGCATACCAACGTGGTGTAACAGTATCACAATCGGCACGTATTCAAGAGGTGCAGGTTCGAGTCCCGGCGAGGGCATTGCACGTTTTTCTGTCTCCTGCTTCAAAATAATCTAATGACTGTACAACTAATAACCCAAATTCACGGTTACAGATAATAAAAAAAATCATATTCAAAAGATGGGACTATAAAATACTGAACTGAAATTTAATTTTTGTAATAAAGCATCTACATTTTAAAATTAGGCAGAAAAAGTGTTCTATGCTTAATACGATTAATCTCATATTTATTGTTCTGAACGCATTGAAAAATTAATTTCTTGCCTATACATTTCTATAATTAACTCCCTGTTTTTATTGTTTATGCTTTAAGCATATAATTTTACCCACCATTTACTCTTACACCCATTTAATCCTTTCCAGCAGCCCAAAAGGTAACAGTAAAATCTTTTCATGAGTGAACTAGTGAGAGATTTCGAAATTTCATTACAATGCTCCAGGGAGCTTAGTTCAATAAGAATACCATTTGTGGCTTTATAATGAGTTTAGTTAATACACGAGTTCCAAAAAACATTAAACGCAATTCCCCGTAACTTAATCTCATTAACGCACCCCTTCGATTCTTGTAATTTAATTACGAAACGAATAATTCTTTCGGATGTCTTAAGCGAAAAAGGACTGTTTTTTTTTTTCATTTTGTCATTCTACTGGTATAAATGAATCAATGCGACAGAAATACATACCTAGATCCTGGATGGATTTCGATGACGTTTTGTTTCTTGACCCACTTGACGTTGATTGGCCCATTGCCGGTGACGTCACAGGCCAAACGTGCAGCTTCTCCTTTACGGATTGCTAGTTGACCTTTGGGCACTGAAACTTTGGGCGGCACTGTAATTACAAATGTACTATTAGTCGAAGAAAAAAGTGTATACTTTATATACTCATTTGTTAACACACCTTAAAAAGTTAATTTTAAACAGTGTAATTTCCTATAGTTTTAGATTCATTTAAAAGCTTTCTTCTTTTTTTTCGTTAATTGCTGCTATTTTTACTGTTTCCTACATCTCCAACTTTTGAGTTTCTCAATTTTTCCTCGCTGTGTTATACTGCAACCAATAGCATGTGAATAGAAGAAACGGTTTTTCGCTTTTGAAACTTCTACACGTTAACTTGCCCATTCTATGCAACCTGTGCATTGCATTACGTTACCAGTGTATTCATCATCCATGCGTTCTGACAGATTATCAGTTATCAGAGGTGTAATGCTCCGTAAGATCTTTGATTCATCTTTCAAATTAAAATAGTAGGTTGCTTAATTATTTGAGCGATTCAACCTTCTAGAACTTCTCAAGAACATATATCTTGATTTTCGTTTTTAGTAATACCTGTAACTGGTGAAATGGATAATAAATCTAACCAAACTGGCGTTTATTATAGGCATTTTAATTATCATTGTAATTAATGAAAAATCGTTAAAAATTATAAATAACATAGTAGAACATTCATTTGTGTCCTAGCAAGGACTAGTCGCTTGTGTCCTAGCATATTATTAAATTTCAACCATAAAAATGAATTTTCTTAAAACTTTTTACTTACGTCCTGAATGAAATAAATCAAAACTTATATTTCAGTAAGAATAATTAATTCTATCATTAGTCGCGTTTTACTGATAACCTAAAGAGCACCTGCTATTTTCCGAAATCAAGTCAGTCCATCATCTTTGCCTCGCACAAATACTTCCAAGCTTAAGATGTGAATTTAATTCTAAATGAGTGTGTCCACTTTAAAAAGTAAATATATACGGTTTTATGATCACAAGAATACATGCAGTTCAGAGATTTTAACATTTTACTGATGACAGAGGGCCATTGTCGAGCATGAGTTTACATAATTAGACAGTACATACTGTTTAGCGTAAAATTTGACTATATTCAAATATATAGCTCGATTAATTGCCCAAGTTAACACCGCTGAGATTGAATAGTTCCCGAGCTGCAATTTTCGCAATTTAGACTTTTATTATTAACATCCTGTGTCAAAGATGTGTCATTAAATACAGTTATTATAAGACTATATTTATCTGTCAAATTTAATCTCTAAATAGAATGATAAAGTTGCAGGATGCTACAATAGAAATACAAAATATATTCAGAATTTAATTTTTGTTCGGTTGCTTTAGGGCTGTTGTCCCGATTCCAGCCATAGAGGATGGATTCTTTTATCTCTTTCTGTGCCCAAAACAGAAAATTAGATTACGTTGATGCATCCTTCTACATGTTTAATATGTTCATGGTAATCCATTGCCATGCCGCTGGGAAAATGTGATCTGTTACGTAAATATCAGCTTCTCTTTTTTTGGGTGATTGGTTTTAAATATAAGTGCAGAAATCTTCAATTTTGCGATGTGTATAGAGAAGATGCCCTGAATGATAAAATGGTAGACAGCATTGGGAATGCAAAGAATGTTAAGCTAAAAGAAAGAAACTTTTTAGAGTAATCGGTAATTTGGTGCAAGCCATGGGAAAGAAAATTTGTCAAAACAAAAGTGTTGCAATTTCAGCATTTTGAGTTTTCAAGAGATTTCAAGATTATCTCCAACGAAATTGTATTCATGTCGGTTGGAGTTTCAGAAACTGTACATCTATTGCCTGTCAAAGATGTTGATTGAAAAACATAAAAAGAAGCATCTTGTCATTTCTTTGATTTTCACTCGATAAAGTGGAAAACGCGATGAATTCTAAGTCAAATATTTACCAACGAGAGGCAGAGTGGCTTGTTAGTCTTCAAGTAGAAGAATATGAAGGAAATCACACATCATCCTTCATAAAGAAAAATATTAAGCAGACACATTTCAACCCGAAAGTTCCCGAATTCAAGTTATTTTGGAGGGGAATACAAGTAGCTTTATTTTCAAATTCTTTTCTACTACAAATACAGAAAAAATATATCAAGGTATTTCATTAGAATAAACGGATCATCTTTCATACAACTAGATGAAACGGAAAGGGAATTACATAACTAAAAATGATCCTCGTTTTTGGAAATTTCTATAGCGATGATCATGTCAAAGACGTTGTCCATACATGGTTTCATTGCTTACTGTACACCGTAAATACAGAAAAACTGGTTTCTCGCAGTTCAAATTGAATAAATGTGGTTAATAAAATGTGGTTTAATAAAAGTGAAATAAATGTGGTTTAATAAAAATGAAAATTATACAAGAATATAGTTGAAGAATGTAAAAATCCAAAGAAAATAAAAGCATTTTAAAAATTACCTTTTGATCCTTATAAAAAGCAGCTGCAACATACAATTTAGATACCGTATGTAAATACCCTTAGTTTAGCTGAAACTGGCATCAGCATTTTCAAATGCAATATAAAACATATATTTTAAATTTGTATTTTTATAAAAATCACAGTCAGATTTTTTTATTGTAAAATGAAATCCAAAACGCAAGTGGCAGATAATTGCAATAAATACTTATGTATAATCATAGAAAAAAATGAAGTTTAGTGATCTTGTATCTGCTTTTTATTTCAGCACATTTATAATTCAAATAAATTTCAGTTGACAAAAATTATTTAGTTCTTTAGAAATTTAGGTATAGCATAATAAATGTATAAGAGTATTAAGAGTGTTCGTATTTTATTTATTCTGTGCAACTACATAGAACTGCATTGTAGCTAAATACACGCATAATTTAGCTTGTATTTGTATTATTTAATATGCAATACATCAAATTTTATTTTTGTTCTATTGAAGGAGAACCTATATTATAAAAACTGCAAAATAATATTAATTTAAGAAAGGATCAATGTAAAGGTAATACAGGAAAATACTTTAATAATCCAAAAAACGTACACAACCGACAGCGAGTAAGAATGAAAATTTAATTTTCTTTAAAAAATTTCCGCTTGAAACTAAATATGAGCTATAAATCTTCCAGTTTATCCTATTAAAAGTTGCTCTGCACGCAAACATAATTAAATTTCTGATGTTCTTTTTTAAATATTTTTCTCTCGCGAAATAGCATTTTTTGCAAGCTATAAACTCGGTATTATTTTTAGACGGTTAATGTTTAGCGTTTCTGAATTGCTGCTTTTGCATAGGAATCCTAACATATCGTAAATATAATTACACCTAGACAAAGCTTTCGGATTGATTCCAAAGCCACTAAAATATGCTTTTAATTTCAATATCTATTAGCAAATAAGATTGTTCATTAAGTTTGAATAAAACGATAAATATTTTCATACATTTTTTTTTCTTTTCACATTTTTAGCGTAATAGTAATTTTCTTTACAAACTTTCCGGCTATTTTGCAGCTTCTTGGTTTTAGTACAAATCTCAAATTTTGACGGGCTTGCCTAAACTTACGAGAACATGGGTTGATTACTTGCAAGAACATGACTACTGCAACTACATATGCATTGTTCCACTATTTGGATATGTTGGCGATTTCCGAGGAGTATTGGGGTTTTTCAAGACGTTTGGACGACCTCTGTACTTCGAAACATTGGTTGACATCAAGTTACTAATACAATTTCTGTACAAGTTTGTTGATGGTCATCAAAGAAATATACAAGTCAGGTTTAAAATTGTCTGCACAATCTGAGGAATTTTCTGCTATTTAAATCTCTCCGTAATTAACGTATATCATGGTAATGATATACGATATTACTAGAATGCGTAATATCGGAGTAATATGTAGGTTGAGTAAGAGTTTATGAATAAATTCGTTTAATATCTAAACCAGTGTTTACATCACACGAAGTCTGGTGTAATCCTGCCGTAAGGTTCTTCATTTTCCAACTGAATAATGTTTGTAGTTTTGCTAAGAGCATCTCCGTCAGTCGAATTGCTAACTCCTAGAATGAAACAAATTCAATATTGCATTTTCTGTAAATTTTGCTTTTAGTATTCTTTTCGAAAATAATGTTTGCAGGCCATTTTTATATTTCACTGCAAATCCAGTGCTATATTCCAGAAATAATAATCAATCCATAATGAAACTAAAGGTTGACTTTTTTCCCCTTAAAATTTATGCTGAATGATAAAACAAAAGATAACATTTTAAACTATAAGCAAGTTAGTGAAAATAAAAAATATAAAAATTTCACAGTATAGTTATTTAAATAAAACAATTTAACTTAATGACAGAAACCTGAACAAACGAAATTATCATTAAAGGAGATGATTACCCAAGTCAGTACGTCTTTCTAAAATGATTTATGTTTATCAGAAATATGCGAGACGATTCCTTTCATATATTGCTTCTCCGGTAGTTTATAGGAATTGCCATATGCATGCTTATTCTGTTGTCTGATCGGAAAATCCGCTATTAAATTACTGGAGCCGCTCTATTGAGCAGCTATAGCCGGAGTGGTTAGCTAACTGGATGACATATTGAGAGGATACTCCGAGTTCGAATCCTGGAAAAGCATGGATGTTCGTAAGTGTACAGTGTCTGTGTGTCAGGGGACACTCAAAATACTGGCGAGCTTAAAGTCCTCCCGAGTGATTTAGTGGTAGAGGAAAAGAGTAGGAGACCCTCGGACAGTCTTCAGAGTGCTGTCCATAAGTAATTGCACAGCAGTTAGTACGGTAAGACTATATCTGTGTGACCAATAGTGGAATTATCTTGTCCTGCCCACTACTTGTTAGGTGACTAGAACTAACTGTTATGCTCTACATCTGTGATTTCTAATCTAAAAATAGTACTTGAACATTAGGCGAGAAGTTCTTTTAAGTACACTTTTATCCCCTTTCTATCACTCCTTTTCCCTTTTATTACTCATTTTCTAAATGTAGATTATCCCCGTTGTAAAGTTAGATATGATCACTCTACGAAAATATGTAAAAGAATGGACTTAACATTTAAGTTA